GGCACCAATTTGTAGACTTAATCAATAATAACAACTTCTGTATCAGATTTGTAGTCTTTTTGTTGACAACAGGTGATAGCAGACACTTGCATGATTTGCTTTTGACAGACTTGGCTATCTGGGTTGTTATGTCATAATTGATGTTTTGCAGACCAAAAACTGACGTTATTATCACGTGAGCTTGCTTGCTGGGATATTGTGTGGGAGTTGCGAAATATTTCTGCAATATTACTGCAAGCTTACGGCAATGTTGAAATGTCCGCCTTCAAAAATATTGCAATGTAAGATTACAGTAATGTTACCGTGCAATGTAATTGTAATATTAAAACGCAATGTATTTGTAGTATTGAAACACAATGTATTTGTAATATTGAAACGCATTGCACAAATATGCAAATTGTTTCAAATTTAATAGATAAACTTTAACAATATATAAAAACATCCCAAAAGAGATGAGAATAAACTTATTGCAAAATTGTGTAAATTCATAACCTTTTTGCACTCAAAATTTACAATCAGATATCCGAACGTAAAAAGATTATGAACTTACACAATGTTGCAACGAGTTTGTTTTCATCTGTCTTGAATGTCTTCATACATTGTCGAATTTTATTTATTAAATTTAAAGCAATTTGCATATTATAAAAGTATGAATAAATTGTTGGTTTCATATAAAAATTATTAAACAATTTTGTTTGTAATTTTACTTTATTATATATATTACATTTTCTTCACCATAGCCCGACCGTTTCCATGAACCAGAACGTAACACTTGCTTGCGTATATATGTACAAACAGCCTCTGTAATGCAAAAGTATATGATAATTATATTTAAAATATTCCTTCTGAAATGCCCACACAGACATCCATCCATCCAGACATTAGACATTTATTAGATGTCGCATGGAGCTGTCGACGTCTAATAGACGTCTAATGAAATTTTTGTTCTGTGTGGGTGTATATATTGATTAAAAATAATAACATAGAAGTGTGCGATTGTGCTGGAAAAAATGCTAAGAAAATATATTAATTACAACACATATTATATCAATTACATTATTTCTGAGATAGAAGTACTATTTTAAAAACCAAAAATATTTTTATACGCAAATACACAAATATTACGCTGTAACAAATTTGAATATATTAATGTATCAAGAAATATTGACAAAGTAATAATGTCTGATGTGAGGATCAGTGACTTCGGATTTGTCGATAAGAAACAAATTGCAGAAATAGTCCAAACCGGCAGAGGTGTTTTGCCAAATAATGAAATATTATACATATATATATATGTGAGAGTTATATTGCATAAATAAGAGAAAACTATATAATCCTAATATATAAATCATAGTATAACTGTTACATTATATGTTACTCCCATGTTATGTAGCAGTCATATTTTGTTTGCTAGGAGGATAATACTATTGTCTGCGTCCTTAATAACGCTAAAAGTCAAGATAATAAATTTATATATTATAGGAACAAAACTGATAATAATTTATATATTGTAGGAACAGGCGCGTTTTTAAGACTGGTAAAACTTCGGTGCAAGAACAAAGATGAGAGGGCCCTTTAATTAATAATAATAATAATAATAATAATAGTAATAATAATTATTATTATTATCATTATTATTATTATTGTTATTATTATTTATTAAAGGCAATTGGACAAAAGTTTTTAATGATTTTTTATTTGTATGCAAATTTAGAAACGAACACCTCTTCAAACTTTAACCGACATAAATTTGTTTGCAACATCTTCCAAATTTAAATTAATCAAAACATTTTTTTCAATTGATAATAAAGTTAGATCAGATGTTCTTTCCTGTGTCATGGTACTTCTTAAATAACTTTTAAGTCTCCTTAATACACTAAATGATCTTTCGGCACTCNCAACTCCGATAGGTAATGTTATGAATATTATAAATTTATAAATNTTTATCATGCACCGAGAGCCCGCAGATCCCGGGGCCCGTCGGTGCATCGCACCGGTTGCACCGACGTTAAATACGCCTCTGTGTAGGAACACAACCTTATAATACAAATTTGTTTCTTATATCATGCGAATCACATTTAGGAATCAATATTTAGAAATAGTTACAGTAAGGCAAAGCAGATATACAGAGTGTCCCAGAATTAGTGTAACATCTCTCGTAGACAGGTAGAAGGAGTAAAACTAAGTCGATAAGTCCTATACCATTTTGCTAGATTCGCAATAGTTACCGAGATCTTAATTAACAAAGATCCGCAAATAAGCGTGCATCGGGCTGTCTTACGCGCGTAGGACAGCCCAGCGCGCTTCGCACGATTACATTTTAATATGTATATGTTATAGTATATGCTGTTATATTAGCTCCTCCCATATGTCGCTATGGGTAACACCGTTAGCGCGCGAAGCGCACTGGGCTGTCTTACGCGCGTGAGACAGCCCGATGCATGCTTATTCGCTGATCTTTGTTAATTAAGATCTCGGTAACTATTGCAAATCTAGCAAAATGGTATAAGACATTTTGACTCAGTTTTACTCCTTCTATTTGCTCACGAGAGATGTTACACTAATTCTGGGACACCCTGTATAGAATCATAGTTTTGTCAAAATATTTGCGCCGAAGCTTAAAATTCCGTACCACGATAAATTTATTATCTTACCAATCCTACACACAATTGTACCCACATTGTAAAAACTATATGCATAATAAATTAACTTTAATAACATTTTAATATGTGAAATTTACATATACATACACATATACATATATATGCATACACATACACATATACATACATATATACATATACATATATGTCTATATATAATTTTATAAATGTTACGGATATATTTTTCACATTAATAATTATTCAAACAGTACAATGCAGAGTGATACACACGTTTGAGTAATATTACTGAAAAAGATATTCGACGTATCATACAAAAATTTATTAGTTTTAAAATATTTTATTCATAGTCCAATGCAATGTATGCAACGTGCCAAATAGTAAATCACGTTAAATAACATTTCTAACGTTTAGAAGACACAATAAAAACATTTGATATATATACAGGGTGTCCCAGAATTGGTTTAACATCTCTCGTAGGCAGGTAGAAGGAATAAAACTGAGGTGAAAAGTCCTATACCATTTTGCTAGATTTGCAATAGTTACTGAAATTTTAATTATAACAAAGATCCGCGAATAAGCATGCATCGAGCTGTCTTACGCGCGTAAGACTGCCAGCCGCGCTTCGCGCGCTAACGGTGTTACCCATAGCGACATATGGGAGGAGCTAATATAACAGCATATACTATAACATATACATATTAAAATGTAATTGTGTGAAGTGCGCCGGACTGTCCTACGGCCTACGCGCGTAGGACAGCCCGATGCACGCTTATTCGCGGATCTTTGTTAATTAAAATCTCGGTAACTATTGCGAATCTAGCAAAATGGTATAAGACTTTTCACCTCAGTTTTATTCCTTCTACCTGTCTACGAGAGATGTTAAACCAATTCTGGGACACCCTGTATAATATTGCTACTTGAAATGCAATACAATATTACCGTAATATTTCATTATTATATGTAAATGTAATATGTCGATAATATTATTGTAATATTATATTATAATATCTAATATTACTGATATATTGCAATTTTACTGTGATATTGCAGTAATATTACGCTATGTGGGATTGCTGAAATGTATTCTACAACATTGCTGATACATTTCGACGAAATATTGATATTGTATGTCTCTAAAACATATCTGCAATATTACATTGCAACTTGCAATGTTGCAACGTTTCTGACATATTACTGAAAGCTACGGTGCTGTATGAGGAGCTATATTCGTCACAGTTAAAATAATTTTCTGAAAATAATGTCAATAATTTATTGACTTTAAAGTTAACTTTTTTTCAATTACTTTTTGTACTTTTTTTACGTTTGTGCATTAAAAACATTCTCAATTAGAACACTACCCTTACGAAAAAGAACTACTGCCGATTACATATAAATAAAGTCAGTAATATAAATATTACTGACAATCACATAAGATTATTATTAGGTATTACAGAAATCACTGAGAATATTACTGGCAATTACACAGAATGTCAGTAAGTTTTTCGTACCACTGCCGCAATATATTACTGCCAATAGTTCTTTTTCGTAAGGGTAGAAATATATATATATATAAATTAAAGCTATTTTTCTATTTATTTTTCTAAACTTTTATTTTCCTAAAATATCTTTTTAATTACAAATTTATTTAGAGATTAGACTCAAAAAATCTATCTTGAGAGAAAAGTGAGTTAAATTAGTTTTGTATATCTTACTTGAGAGAGTTGTCGAGATATTATATTTTATTGTTCTGTAATGAAGTGAGTGTTCCACTTTTTGCATCTCTTTGTCGCATCGAAATATATTTTACATTCTTCTGACACATTTAACGCGTTCATCCGACACATATATTTTGACATTAGATCTACGAAAAACAAAAATATCAGATATTATTACATGTACAGTTGATATATCATCGCGTCAACTTGCTTCGAATAAGCCGTGAAATTTGCGGCAAAATTTATCCGCCTCTTCTGCGTATACTTGACGCGATTAATCAATCACTAGTAAGTTCGCGTTACAAATTTGGCGCGCCTGTTCCACCGCTACTTGAACGCAGTCAACGATCGCGCTGTATTGTGGGGCGATCGAATGGCTGCCTCGTATCACGTCTGTCCGTTCTGTTTCCTTCTGTGTGTAATTAATTTTACTTTATTCATCGATCATCACGAGCAGTGTCTTTGATTGAACAAGTCGGTAAGCCAATCGATTAATCTACAAATTAAAGCGTAAAGCTCACAGAAGTTTGACCGGATAATAAAGCATCAAACTTGGTTCTTTGCACAAACGTGTCGCTTCGAAGGCGGATTTACATGCACGGCCGGTGATTTGCTTTTTGCGAAATATAATCGCATAAATCAGTGATTCTCTTATTTTGCGAAAAACACTGCCCAAAAGTTCCGCAATTCTATATGCGCGTTCCCGGGCAAAGTGTATAAACAGGGTGTATCGAATGAATCTGTCTTCTCTCTCTCTTTCTCTGTCTCGCTCTCTCTCTTTCTCTGTCTCTCTTTCTTTCTCTGTCTCTCTCTCTCTCTTTATTTTTCTCTCTCTTGACAAGGTAACGATGAGCGGCAGTTGTATCGTGGTTTCAGAAGTGCATTTACATGTAAAATTCCGGGGTGTATATATATTTTATAACTTCTTCTATTTTCCACCTGTCATTGGATTATTGCATGTGACTAATGGAGAAGTGATAATGAATATCTTCCAACACTCGTATCGCAAACAGATAATTCTTTTACATGTTTGAAGTATGATATAAAAAAAATATATATTTTTTTAAAAATTATAAAATTATGCTGTATATATATGATTAGTAAGTCTTTTATTATTTTAATTAACAATAAGAAGTATACAGAATAAAAAAATTACAAAAAAAAGACAAAAAATATAAGAATAATTGTATATATCTAAGAGATGTATATTTTGATATAAATAAGAAATATTTTTATTTATGGTAACTTAAGTATTATATTTAATCTTATTATTTATACAAGGAGTTTTATTCTGTATGTATGTATGTGTGTGTGTGTGATGTTACTTTCATCAATCCTTTAGAGATGTGAGCAAACCGTCATTGAGCAAGTATACTTATAATATGAAGTCTTAATACAATAAAAATTCATTTGATATATTAATATATAATCATAATATGTAATATATGATGTATTAATATATCAAATGAATTTTTATTGTATTAAGACTTTATAATTATAAGTATACTTGCTCAATAATATTTTGCTCAGATCTCTAAAGGATTGATGAAAGTAACATCACACACACACACACACACACATAAACACAGAATAAAACTATATATACATATATGTAGTATATTTGCAAATAAAAAATTAAAACTTAATGTTTTTTTTAACATAGTTTAATGTATGATAAATTTATCTATTGTATTTCTTCATTGTCATTATTGGTTGATAAATATTCTAATTTTATTATGTACACATATTTTTTTTTATATTTAAAACAACTTATTTTCCTTTTAATAAATGATTACAGATTTTGTAACATATAGTAATAATAATTATATTACCAAACCAAATCATATTGAGATGGAAAAAAGTGCCGATGGATTGCTGTTTTGCACTGAGAGAAATAATGGTGTGGATGAAGCAACTATGATCACTGACGAAAGAGTGGCTATCTTAGATGCAGGTGCACAGTATGGAAAAGTAATAGACCGCAAAATACGCGAGTTAAATGTTCATAGTGAAATTCTGCCGCTCGATACACCTGCATTTACACTTCAAGAGAAAGGATATAAGTAAGATATATATGCATGTTTAATATTTATGAACTAAAAAACATTTGAGTTTGTTTATTAATGTGTACGCATTAATCTTTTTCTTTAGAGCTATTATAATCTCTGGAGGTCCTAGTTCAGTATATGCTGAAGATGCACCTAGATATGACGCAGACATCTTCCGAATAGGAATCCCTGTATTAGGTATTTGTTATGGAATGCAGATGATGAACAAAGAATTTGGCGGCACCGTAACTAGAAGGGAGAATCGAGAAGATGGTCAATTTCCTGTTGAAGTTGATACTAAATGCCTATTATTTAAGTAGGTATATTACAAAATCTTTATAAGATTTAGATTATTTAGAACAACTTTTACAACTTTTTAAATTGTACATTAGGGGTTTAGATAAGGAGCAAATGGTACTGTTGACACACGGGGATAGCATAGACAGAGTGGCTGACTCTTTTCGTACCACTGCCAGATCGTCAACTGGTTTCGTAGCTGGAATAGCAAGCGATAAAATGAACTTATACGGCGTGCAGTTTCATCCGGAAGTAGATTTAACACCGAATGGAAAATCGATGTTACATAACTTTTTATTCGGTATTGCTGGCCTTACGGGTAATTACACGCTCCGCGATCGAGAGGCACAATGTATTCAATATATCAGAAACACTGTAGGCGATAAAAAGGTTTTGGTAAGCAATTCACCAATTTTTCGAGTTACATTATATATCAAGCTCTGTTGGAATAAGTTTCGAAATAATCTTTGATTTTATATATATACAGGGTGTCCGGAAAATCGCTCCCAATACTTCAGGAAGTGATTAGGGATCCAAAAAGAAGAAAAAAAGTTATATAAACACAGGCCTGGAAATAAGTCGTTTCCGAGTTATAGCCACTTTTGTTTAAAAATCGTAATTTTTTTCATAATTTATTTTATTGTGTTTTAACATAAATAACTTTATTTCAGACTATTTTGATAGAAGAATAAGGATCTGCATTCGTGCTGAAGGTGGTCATTTTGAACATAGACAGGTATTTAAATCGAATTAGATATGATGTTCAAAATGACCATCTTCAACACGAATGCAGGTCCTTATTCTTCTATCAAAATAGTCCGAAATGAAGTTATTTATGTTAAAACGCAATAAAATAAATTATGATTATGAAAAAAAATTACGATTTTTAAACATAAAAGTGGCTATAACTCGGAAACGACTTATTTCCAGGCCTATGTTTATATAACTTTTTTCCTTCTTTTTGGATCTCCAATCACTTCCCGAAGTAATGGGGACGATTTTCCGAACACTTTGTATATATATATAAAACGTGTATTTTTCACATTTGGATTCTCTTATTAAAAACTGCAGTTATTGGTGAGCGGAGGTGTGGACTCGTCAGTGTGCGCAGCTCTGTTACAAAAAGCATTGAGCAAGGAGCAAGTTATAGCGCTTCACATTAATAATGGTTTTATGCGCAAAGGAGAAACACAATTTGTGGAACAGAGTTTAGCTCAACTGTGTGTCACGTTGAGAGTGGTAAACGCCGGCCGCTATTTCATGCAAGGCACGACGACAGTTCCGTTGGACAATGTCACGCCCATGATAAACACTAACGTCACAAATAACAAGGGAATATGCGGCACAGCGAGTAGCCCAAGAACCAGATTAACTAAAATGCTGTGCGAAACTACTAACCCAGAGGAGAAACGAAAAATCATAGGGGACGTTTTCGTGAGGGTCGCGAACGAGGCGATGGCGGAAATGGGATTAAAGCCGGAAGATGTGTTTCTTGGTCAAGGCACTCTCAGGCCCGATCTTATAGAAAGCGCAAGCACCTTAGTCAGTGGTAATGTATATTTTGACTTCGAGAATTTTGTAACGAGAAATAATCTTGGTGTTCTTTTGATAATGAAAGTTTTTTTTAGGCAAAGCAGATGCCATTAAAACACATCACAACGACAGCGAGCTTGTACGAGTACTGCGTGTAAAAGGCCATGTAGTTGAACCGTTGAAAGATTTTCATAAGGACGAGGTGCGGCAGCTGGGATGCGACCTTGGATTACCAGCAACACTCGTCACGCGTCATCCGTTTCCCGGACCCGGTCTCGCGGTGCGAATCCTTTGCGCGGACGAACCTTACATAGAAAAGGATTTCTCTGAAACACAAGTATGTATAAGTATAAAATAAACAAACATTTCATCATTGATCAACATTATAACGGTTAAGATAACTTGTGACAGACTGACATAAAATTTACATTTGTGTTTGTTGCGTGCATATAGGTCATAGTAAAAATAATGGCGGAGTACGAACAGATGCTGCAGAAAAAGCATGCGTTGTTGAATCGCGTGGAAGGCGCTACGACTGAAAGCGAACGTCAACAACTTCGAAGAGTCTCGAGTCATCGTCACATTGCTGCAACTCTCTTACCTATTCGTAGTGTGGGAGTTCAGGTAATTCGTATCGAAAATACAAAATATCTGATCTTTTGTTACATACTAAATGCTGAATATATTTTACCTGTGCAGGGCGATCGGAGAACTTACAGTTACGTTGTAGGATTATCTTGCGAGGAAACTGTTACTGAAGGAATAGAATGGGAAGACATGCTATTCTTAGCGAAATTAATTCCACGCGTTTGCCACAACGTCAATCGTATATGCTACATTTTCGGACCGCAGCTCCACCATCCAATACAGGATATTACACCTACCTATCTCACATCGAATGTGATAGCGACTCTGCGACAGGCGGACCACTTAGCTAATCAAGTATTGGCTTCAAACGGCTGCATGGGCGCCGTCAGCCAGATGCCTGTTGTTCTAATACCAATACACTTTGATCGCGACGCGGCGTGTCGAACGTTATCATGTCAACGTTCCGTTGTGCTCAGGCCATTCTGCACTAATGATTTCATGACCGGCACACCCGCCATCCCCGGCAAAGATCTGCCATTACATGTAAGTTCAATTTCTTTTTAATTGTTAAATACGTTAGACACAACAAATTATTTGTTATATTTCTTATATGCCTCAAAAGATACTCTAGTATTCGACTCCTTCCATTGTTTTGCAGGTAGTGAAAAAGATGGTGACGGAAATATCCACGGTGCCTGGAATTTCACGTGTTTTGTATGACCTAACGTCTAAACCGCCAGGGACAACAGAATGGGAGTAGTAAACACTCATCTTGACTTTCTTTCTATTTTTTTCACCATCTCTGCGCGCGTAATGACATGGAAAAGTGACAAAATATATCTAAAAACACGTATATATACACACACACATACACACACATACACATACACACACACAGAGGATGTTTCATGAAGACCGTATCACCGCTCGTACGCAGGTAGAAGGAGTTATTCTGAATCGAAAAGTCCTGAACTATTTTTTTTATTACATATAATAAAGGAGTAATTATTGAGTAAATAAGGCCAATCCGCGCCGATCTTTAGCTAGGCGCACGTCAGTGAGCCGCGCGGAGCGCTCACGCACATCAGGCGCGTGGTTCACTCATAGACGTATAATATATAGACTGCGCGTTTGGCTGAAAAGATGTCTTCAACGTTGAGAGAGACAACATACTTTGAATAGTAACTCTTTATCTATCATTTCTACTTCGCTAGACTAAGATGAGGCTACTATTCAACACCAGCTGTCTCTCTCAACGTTGAAGACATTTTCTTAACATGGCAAAGGTAGGACGCGCAGTCTATATATTATACGTCTATGGGTTCACTGACGTGCGCACGACTAAAGGTCGGCGCTGTGATTGGCTTGATTTATTCAATAATTACTCCTTTATTATATGTAATAAAAAAAAAATAGTTCAGGACTTTTCGACTCAGAATAACTCCTACCTACCTACGAGCGGTGATAGTCTTCATGAAACACCCTGTATATAAAATGTGTGTGTGTGCACACACACACACACACACACACACACACATGTATACATATATAAATTAAAACAAAAGAACTATGAAGAATTCGAGATTGTACTAATTTACACAAGACCTGCGGAACTTTTTTAAGGGCATGTATTAAATGAAATTGTGTATTACTTGATTCTTTAAACAAAGAATGACACACACACACACATGCGTTTGATTCGAGATCTTGAAAGCAAGTATCCATGTTTGCTTGTAAATAGTTTTCTATAATAATTCAGAAGTTTCTTTTTTAATATTAATTTATTAAATTTATTAAATATATAATTTTCGAGGTTTTATATTCTCAATCACTGTTATTACATCTCGAATCATTGCATTTGATCGATGGTACCAGTAGATTGTTGTTGTATTCAATCTGCATATAACGTTGAACATGTTTCACGGTTCGCCTGTATGTTCTATGCCAAATGCAGCTCCTGGTTTTTGTTGCGCATCTACGAAACAGAAACAGAACAAGTGTATTGTTCTGGTGTATTGTTATTGGTGCCGAATATTTTTTATTTAAACGAGATCATGAGCGAGCAAAGCAAGCGATTTATTGTTCACCATCCACAAGATTGTATTACTTATTTGTTGTATAGAGAGATAAAACGCCTTTTACATACACATTTTAACATTTCATGAAACATAATTACCTATGCATTGTTTTCAACAAGATGTGCAACTCCTCGATGCGTTTCTTTTGCGGTAGCATACTGAGGAACGCCGCAAGTGACAGAAAGTCCACTTCGTTCACAGCTTTCGACTCGATTACCCATGTTTGAATTTGCATCTTCACCTGCGTCACATAATGAGCATTTTATTTTAGACGAGAAGCGCAACTTTCATCTTTACGCGATACAAATTTTAATATTGCTTTCTAAACATTCGCATATGACGATAAAATTATTACATATATGTAAAAATAACAAGAAACAGTTTTTTTTGCATATTGAAAACTAACATAAAAAGAAAAACAATATGTATATACTTTTACATTGAAAATAGTGCGAAGTATTTTTTTCTTTTTTTCAATTAATTTACTACTTTGAAAAACGTTGAGTATTTTTCATTGATTTATTTTGATACCAAAATGTGTTGATAGTTTTTACAGTGATAGCGTGCGCGCGCGCACGCACACACACATCTAAAATACAAATATAAGAAACTAAATTTGCACTGCAGTATGTTTCTGTGATAAACTAATAATTCTCGGATATTATCGACATGTAGTTTTATCACGAGCAAACGAATCTTCCATAGTTTTATTTGTTGCTATGCCGTCACGGTTACCAATTTAATGTTCGACATAAGAGACGGTCATATTTGCGCAACACGCGTACTAAATGTATGTGTGTGTACACACACACACACACACAGAGGGTGTCCAGAATTGGTGTGACATCTCTCGTAGGCAGGTAGGAGTAAAACTGAGTCGAAAAGTCCTGAACCATTTTTTTCTATTATTTATAATAAAAGAGTAATTGTTGAGTAAATCAGGCCAATCACCGCCGACCTTTAACTAGACGCACGTCAGTGAGTCACGCGCCTGGTGTGTGTGAGTGCTCCACGCGGTTCACTGACGTGCGCCTGGCTAAAGATCGGCGCGGATTAGCCTGATTTACTCAATAATTACTCTTTTATTATAAATAATAGAAAAAAAATGGTTCAGGACTTTTCGACTCAGTTTTACTCCTTCTACCTGCCTACGAGAGATGTCACACCAATTCTGGGACACCCTGTGTGTATATATATATATATATATATATAGGGTGTCCTATAATGACCGTCTCACCGCTCGTAGGCAAAAAGAAGGGGTTATTCTAAGACGAAAAGTCTTATACCACTTCGGAAAATTAGCAATAATTAACGAAATATTAATGAATAAAGATCCGCTAATTAGCGTGCATCCAGAGTAAGGACAGCGTAAGGACAGCCCAGTCTTGGCGCTTGTTGGCGAGCAACCGCCCCTTGCCCTCCGATCCCACGTTTATTCTTCGAATTCCTGACGCGCTGTGTACACATGTTATTCTATTAGCTCCTCCCATTCTGTCGCTACGGCACGTATGTACGCACGAAAGTCTAGGCTGTCCTTACGCTGTCCTTATTCTAGATGCACGCTGATTAGCGGATCTTTATTCATTAATATTTCGTTAATTATTGCGAATTTTCCAAAGTGGTATAGGACTTTTCGTTTTAGAATAACCCCTTCTACCTACATACGAGCGGTGAGACGGTACTTATCAAACACTCTGTATATATGTATAACACAAATTTGCTAATTTATATATAATTGTTGAAAGATCTAAACACCAACAGATAATTGTGTCGAACGTAAAGACTTTTCGAAAAATAGAATTCACGTGTTTTTAAAGTATAAAATCCGATAAACAGAAAATAAACAGGAATCTGATATACACGCCAATGTACTTTGGCGACAGATAAAAACGATTTGTATCGCCAAGAAATAGTTTTGTACAACGTTGCTGTTCAACATCGATTATAATAGTTGTGTGCACCAGATCTCAAAAAAAAAAGAAAAACAAATAAAACGTAAAAACTCAGTTCCTAATTAGTCATTTCTGTCTTAAACAAATGATTATATTTACGGTACCTGTTGTAAAGGAAGAGAGAAGAGATGATTCACGAGATTAATCAACATTTCCTGATGTTTATCTATGTTTTCATTGTTATGTAAAATACTTAAATTCTGTAAAATAAAATTATCGGCTTTATTCACAGCAGCGTTATTGTGTAAAATCGCAACATAGTCGGTTCGATGCGTGACAAATTTCGCTTTGTCAATATAATCGTTTTTGCATCGCTCTGTTGCTTGTAAGATTTCTGCTTGCGATATGTATGCAACTTCTTTTGTACTATTACTATTTACAATTAAATTTTCTGCACTTTTGCTATCATTATCGGCTGAAGACTCGGCTGTTCGCAATGGCTCAGATGATTTCTTTAGATTACCGTTTTTCATATTACAATACAATTGCACATCGCGCTGCACATCGGGGTGTAAGTCATTTTTCATTAAGGCTGACAAAACATCCGGATCAATCTGCGAACAATTCTGTGCACTCAAATCTCTATTGAACGGGATTTCGTCCGTCTTTCGTTCACTCGCGACACTCATTGCAGTCTGAGATTGTTCTTTGTTTCTTTTGCATTCATCCATTATCTCATTTCTTATATCTGCTGGCAATTCGATTAACACGGACATATCGATATCGTGTATATGAGGCACTTCATACTTTGATGATTTTCCGCTGTTCGGTTTCATATGTCTGAAAAAATTCTCTTGGGACATCTGTTTTTGTACTGTTCTTTTATTCGATTTTCCAGACGTATCTTTTATTTTCATATTTTCGTATTTTGTTTTACAATTATTTACATTTTTATGTTTTGTTTCGGGTATTGACGAGTTTGCTTCAACGTCTGATGGATTTTCACCTAAGTGTCCATTGGTACGTGTATCAGTGAGTTTGGAAAGTTGCGCCGATCCAAGAGCAAGTTTTGCATCAGATATACTTTTTGTTGTTACTAATTCTGTAGTTAAAAGCAACTCCGAACTATTCGTCTTAACTTTCTCACTGTAATTCAAATCGTGTTTATTTTTATTATCATTTCCTGATGTAATATCACAGTTTTGTAACTGTTCAGTTTTGCTAAAGAAATTGATTAAAGTGGTTTTGTCCCGCTTGCTCTTGCTCACTTCTAGTTTGGATATTTGTATACCAATTCCTCTTACGTCCTCTGGCGTCAAGCGCAACTGATCCCAAATATTTACGACTTCCCTTCAAAAAGAAATTACGTGAAATTATACACTTGTATGTAAATTCTACGAAGAAGTTAATATTCAAAAATTATATGCATCAAATTAGTAACAAAAAACTTAGAGCTATCGCACACACAGCATCGCACTGCATAGCATAAAACAAATCTCGATCAACAAATATCTAACATAAAGCCATTATATTTACAGAGCATAACACGCTAGATATGCTCATTGATCTTATGCTATTCAGCTATGCCATTTTGTGTGTGTAACCCTTACTTTTTGATAACACTAACGTCATCGACAGCTGCTATAAGATTCTTCGATTTTGTTATATAATTGCAGAGACCGTGGCCCATGAACTTGGCGGTTTCCTTTGGTGCGTCCTCGGCTCTGATCATAAATTTCAACGTGATACATCTGCCTTTCGCACGAGCCGCTGTTAATCGATTGCACACCTCCACGGATAATTGGCTCAGAAAGTCCACGGCGTCCTCGTTGTTCCGAAATCTTATGCCGTAGTTCACTTCGGCCGATACGGATTTCCTGACATACTCCAGATTCAGCTTCGTGTCGTCCAGGCCGCGACACATTTTATACAGATGCTCTCCCATTTTTTTACCAAACTCTTTCTGTAAAACTTGTAACGAAATCTTCTGCAGTTCTCCGACTGTGCGCACGTTCATTTCATGTAATTTATGCGTTGTTGTTCCACCAACTCCTAAAACAAAAAGATGAGATAAATTAAATTGAACAAAACTTATATAATTAACAATTGAGGAATGAATTACAATTCAAGCATATCTTACCTGGCAAATCTCTCACATTGAAAGTTCGGATGTTTATTTCTGCATTTTTACTGCTCAAATAGAATTGATTGTCGGGTTTGGCTTTGCGCGTCGCCAATCTCGCCTGCAACTTGTTGTTACCGAATCCCGTGGATACCGGGCAACCGGTTTTTTGTTTGATTTCTTTCCTGATTACGGTAGCGAATTCTAATGGATCCGAGAATCCGGATAATTCGAGAACTTTTGTACAATCTACGTACATCTCGTCGCAGCTTACCGCCTCGATGTCTAATGTGTAGGACGCCACGGTATCGTACAGTATGTAAGAAACTTCCTTGTAACCCTCAAAATCGTATTGGATTGTTTTTAGATTTGGACACAGCTTAAGAGCTTCTCCTAGAAACATGCCGTTTTTTACACCAGCTTTTCTGGCCGCGTACGAGCACGAGGCTATTTCCGATAAAGATCCGAAATCGTCTTTGCCGTCGTGATTTGCTTTTGCGTGCGTTACAGCTACTGGTTGATCGTACAGCTCTGGTGAATTTCTGATTCCTACAGACACAAAAAAACAATCCATGTCGATGTGCATTATAACAGGCTCTCGCGTGCGCGCCGCTTTATCGTTACTTGTACTAAAACAAATTGTTTTCTCTTCAGAGTTGCTACCGACCGAAACGTCTCCGATTTCCTTTAACTTTGTCAAACGTTCGAGTCCTGGAAATACCCCGTCGCTTTTATCTCTCAGTTCATTGACGTAATCTTTAAAAGTAGTTCCCATGGTAGAAATATAGTGCAACCTCGAATTACTATAAAATGCTGAGAGAAAGTTTGTATCTCTGGTAGATAGTGCATTAGATTTTTTACTCATGGATTGGTGAATGCTGCTTGAGTTTGTTTTCACTGCATCGCTGTTTGTCTCTGGTTTTTGCATATTTTTGTTACTTTTATCGCTTGCGTCGCAGAAAGAGCTTTTCAGAGCTTGAGACTCTTCGTTTGCAAGTTCAGTGCCCTGCTTGTCACGCGTAACTGAATTCGTGTCAACTTTTTCATTCTTGTTATTCAATTTATCTGCCAACTGAGACTGCACAGTGGTGTTGTTAGAATAAAGTAAATAATTCTGAAAATTCAACAGTTTTCCAGCTGCTATGCTGTCTGTGATCCATTGCGGTTTGCATATAGGAACTGGATTTTGGGACTTTTTGTACATCATTATTTTGGAATATGGCAGATTCGACGCGATGACGTGCGTTGTGATTCTAGGACGCATGTAATGATGATATGTACCACCGTGCATCATCATCAGGCGTCTTAGTTCGTCAGACGTTGGATTCGTGTAACCGTTTACAAATATCGCGATTCCCTCAAATAATCTCGATGTTTCTTCCCGATACTCTTTGCTTGCCGTCTCGCGAAATTGTTCTTCTAGTTTGGCTTTCTTTGCGGCCATATAACCACCCTGAAATATATAATTTTTGTTTAGTCGATCAAACTAGTTTTTAATAAAAATTTCTATTATTTTAGTAAATATACAAACAAATCTAAAAGAATCTATATTACTTACCCATTCTTCAAATCCATTCTCTTTCCATTTGTGATCCCTTTTCTTTCTTGACATTCTTGTTTAACTCATGCACGCAATTACAAATACGATTGCGAATTTATGACATAAATATTTATATTATCTGTACACATTTAAAAATTATACGTAGCATAATAACTTATCACATTTTGCACACAAAAACATCTGTTCACAGAAAAAAAAAACAAATTTCTCTGTTCACTTTTTTTACACGCACGACAATCTTTCGGCTCAGCTGAAACCGCACCATAGCGCGCATGTGCGGAAAAAGGCGGTTTTTGATGACATTAGCATGTCACTCTTTTGTCAACCTCCCGTTTTGTGTGAGAGAGATACGTGTCCATGCGAAATAGCGTGTGGTAAATAAAAATGTTCGTGTTATTTTGTACACGTTTTTGAAGAAACATTTTTGATCTCTTGGAAAGACAAAGATAAATTGCGATTTTAATAATGGAACACCATTTTCTTAGAGAGCAAGCAACAATTACAATAGTGTGTGCGTAAAATGATTGTTCCGACAATCGCGTTTTTCTGCAAGAAGACGATATCGTGACCCCGTGTTTAGCGATCGCGAACAGATGCGAGGCAGAGATGTTATTGCATGATCGAAAGGATGCGACCTTCGTCTCTTCCATTATATCTTGTGGAATCATCATCGTTTGGTGATTGTTGTGTATTATGATAACGTATTTTTGAAAGTCACATCGCGATTTGCATCGTTTCAAGAAAACAAGCTGATGCGTCGCATTTATTGTCACGAGGAGCCCATACGTCGAAAGAAATTCGTTCACGTTTTTGTATGTGTTATACGATCAAAATTACATAAAAAAGCTTTACAATGGAAAGGTGGATCACAGGAATCAGGTCAATAGCGGTTGTTATTTTCATAACAACGTTTGTGTTCGGAAGCCAGCAAGTATTGGAGGTATCTAACCTAATCTATTTGTTTTTTTATTGACCAACATTATTTACTTTTGTGTAAATTTTTCCTCTTAGATGCTTCAATAGATGCTTAATACATTACAAAAGAGTAATACATTGTTATATGTTATTTTAGAATCTTAATACTGAACTGGTGGCAGAAGACGATCCCATTCTTATATTTTCTACTCTCGGAGGATCTCTTATAGCTGTTTCTCGATCGTCTGGAGAAATAAGATGGCAACATGATGATGGTAGCAATTATTTTTCTCATAATTGCATCAAAAAACTTATTCATAATTTTGTATTATTTTTTTAATTGTATCTATTTATTCATAATTTTGTATTATATTTTTAATTATATCATTATTCATAATTAACCATTTTCTTTGTATTATGTTTCAGAACCAGTGATTAGAATGCCCATCAATCTGTCAAAAACTCAAATGTATGTTATTTATATATTATATATAAAGTTTATGTTTTAAATTATGTATTATTAATGTTTTAAATTGTTTCATCACGATATTATATCATTAGTTTGATTTTTTATGAATTTTGTGACAATTGTTAAATAAGAAAGTACTGCATATAATTATTGTTATGTATTTTGTATATAATTATTGTTATGTGTGTAATTGTACGTATTAAATTTATATATTAATTGTATAACATACTCTAATTTACAGTCTTAACTACTTTTTTGTATTTTTAGGCCAATGTTTCTTCCAGATCCAAGAGATGGTTCTCTCTATCTGTATGGTAGGGACTCGGAAGCGTTGAAAAAACTACCATTTACAATTCCACAGTTGGTGGCCAGCAGTCCATGCAAAAGCACTGATGGTATATTGTATACTGGGAGAAAAGTTGACACCTGGTTCAATATTGATCCAACGACTGGCGAAAAGGAACAGTTTTTAACTTTTAATCAAGCGAAAAATTCTTGTCCTCTCAAGGCACAAAATGCTATTTATATTGGTCGTACGGAATACAACATTATTATGGCAGACATCAAACATAAAAACAGAAAGTGGAACGTGACGTTCTACGATTATTCTGCCACACCAATGAACCCCAATGATGACAATTACGGTACGTTTGCTTTTGTATTATATAAGAGTTTTGGGATTTGATTAAATTATCTACAAAAAATGTTAAGCCAATGTAAACATTTATTACGTACGTTGTATCATAAACACGTGATTTAAATTTTCTAGACATGGTACATTTTACCGCGAGTTCAACGGGTCGCGTTGTGACCCTTGACAGAAGGACAGGTAAAAGTCTATGGGAATTAGATATTGAAAGCCCAGTAATAGCGATGTACACCGTGACCAAAGAAGGATTGCTGACGGTTCCTTTTAGCAGTATTGCCGATTCGGTGGTGGAAAAATTTGCAACAAATGTCGTTACAAATCCGACCGATGTTCAGCTATTGTAGGTTTGAAGTTTTACAAACAATCATCCTGATTCATTTCGTTTCTGAAAAAAAGTTAAATAGAAATCTGTGCATTTTAGTCCAACTTTGTACGTCGGACTGTATCAGCACGGTCTTTATGCATTGCCGTCGTACGTTGACACAGGGATAACAATATCAAGAAATTTCGAGCATCTGTTACTCGAGGGACCATTGTCGGCGTCACGTTTTTGTGACGACGACGAAGTATCGGGAGATCACATATTCATTTCTAATATCGATATAGCCGACAAGAGTTATCAAACCATCAAACACGCTAAACATGATATCATTACATTAGGTAAATATGCAAACACCTACTGTTGCGTGTATCGTTAATTTGTGTCTTACAAGATATTGTGTTTTCTCAGGTCATTATAACGTACCTGCGGAATATAAATCGCAGAATCAGCCCCTTCAAATCACCGGCCGATCCGATCCAATAATCTTGGGAACCTCGTCTTTGAATGTCACAAGCACGAAGATATCTGTCGCTATACAAACGTCGAATGGTACTTTGCAGTCGGAAAATGTGACGCAATCGACGATTTACAGCACAAGCAAATTATGGCTCGATCAACAGATAAACACGTACGGCATGTGGCTGAAGATGATATTGTTCCTCGGTTTTGTGGTCGCAATAGATTGGTTCCTGTTGTCCTTTCATTCTAAGGAACAGCAGTTGTCTCAGCAGGTATCAGACCATTTTTTGGGATAAATTTTACGAATTACGCAAAAATGATACAGATGAATATAGTGTATCATATATATATATATTTATTTTTCTTAGTTTACTTAATATTTATTTGTAACGTAATTTTTAATTCAATATTTTTGTTTTCAACTATTGTTAAATCGATTGTATATTGATTGAAGGCTTCACGTGAAAATAGTGGTACAAATGGCACCGATGTGTCAGGCAATTCAATCATTTTGCCAGAAGATATTGGAGAAGGATTGGTGAAGGTGGGAAAAATTATATTCGATACGAAACAAATCCTCGGCAAAGGGTGTGAAGGAACATTTGTGTACAAGTATGTCGTGTACCTTTCTACCATGCGTACTAGTTATGTGCTACAAAGCATTTATCTTGATTTTAAACGTCTCTTGTTGATAAAAAAAAAATAATAATTTTCTGTTTTCAGAGGTGAATTTGACGGTCGTGCCGTGGCCGTAAAACGTCTTTTACCAGATTGCTTCATGTTTGCTGATCGGGAAGTAGCTCTATTGAGAGAATCGGACACACATGCGAATGTAGTTCGATACTTTTGTACCGAACAGGATCGTATGTTCAGATACATCGCTCTAGAGCTAGCCGAAGCCACTTTGCAGGATTATGTAGAGGGACAATACGATAGGGGAAATATATCCGTGAAAAATATTCTACTTCAGGCTACATCTGGTTTGGCGCATCTACATTTTCTAGATATTGGTGAGTTAAAGTAACTCACATAAGACAGTAATAACTTTGATTTTTCTTTAAAATATTTTAAAATTCATTTTTAGTTTTAAATTATTTTTCTTATTATATAGGGGAGAAACGCCTTTGTTGAATAAGAATCAATTTTGTATTTATAAAAAATAAAGCTATAGTAACATAACACTTTCCAATTTTTCATTTTATTTCGTATTGTTTTACGAGTTGCAAAGTTAATCTTTCTGCATAAAACATTCTTTTGTGTAGTTCACAGAGACATTAAGCCTCACAATGTTCTACTTTCTGTTCCTGGACCCCGGGGAGAAGTGCGTGCGATGATATCGGATTTTGGATTATGTAAGAAACTTCAGTTAGGTCGCGTATCATTTTCGCGGAGATCGGGCGTAACCGGGACTGATGGTTGGATAGCACCGGAGATGCTGAATGGTGAAAGGACGACATGCGCGGTCGATATCTTTTCGCTTGGATGTGTCTTTTATTACGTTCTCTCCGACGGCAAACATCCTTTCGGCGATCCGTTACGAAGACAAGCCAATATCTTATGTAAGTAGCGCAAAAAAAATTTAAATTGAATATAAATTATTTGTCATAAAGTATATAGTTGGTTGTTTGTGCGCGCGTACTTTTGATTATGATTAATTCTATTTCTGTTGCAGGTGGTAAAAGCAACTTGACAAAGCTTCAAGAAATATCCTCGAATGACGAGGAATTAGCACTGCTGCTTATCAAAGCGATGATAAGCAGCGATCCCACAGAAAGACCACCAGCTTCGGCGATCTGTACTTATCCTATCTTTTGGAGTTCTTCAGAAATTTTAGGTTTTTTCCAAGTATGTAAAAAAATATACTAAACTACTTTTTAACATAGTCAAGCGTGATTTTTCTTTATTTTTTTAATTTTTAGTTGAAGTAAATAAAAAAATACGTAATAAGTAATTGATATGACTTTATTGTTATTGCGACTTACTTTTACATTTTCTATACAATAGGACATTAGTGACAGAGTAGAAAAAGATGAAGCCGATAGTCCGGCTTTGATAGCTTTGGAAACCTGCGGCGGACGTGTAATACAGTACGATTGGAGATTACATGTCGATGAGGAAGTCGCAAGTGATCTGCGAAAATACAGGAGCTACAGGGGCGAGAGCGTAAGAGACTTACTCAGAGCTTTACGAAACAAGGTTTGTAAATGTACAAAAAACAATTTTGAGCAAAATACAAATATATAATACGTTTTAACAAATGCATTATCTTATCGTTTCAGAAACATCACTACAGAGAATTGAGTCCGAGAGCTCAAGAGAATCTTGGCGAGATACCTGACAAGTTTGCAGAGTATTGGCTATCACGATTTCCATATTTATTGCGTCATGTGTGGTGCGCGATGCAGAATTTCAGAAACGAGTCAACCTTGCGACAGTACTATCATTCGCAATATACTTTTTCGAACGACAGCGAAGGAGAAGATCCGCCGCGAATAGATCGAATAGATCAGATAAGTCTAAATAACAATGCGCTGCTATCGGTGCCGATCACAAAGACGAACTATAAAACAAAATTCCGTGGTCAGAAGAAAAAACAGGTGAAAAAGAAACGAGTAGAGATCGCGACTTGGATGGTGGAACCACCGAACGACAATTCTACTTAACGATTCTCACAGCTTTTTTTAATCATTAGCATCGAACAGAACAAAAAACAAGTTTTTGTAGACATCGACCACAGTTCGAGTTGTGATATATATCCGTTTCGCGGTTCTGCTGCTCATATTACGGCAACGTGTGTGTCGGTAGAAAACTCTTCATCACCTTTCGTATATCTCCAAAAATCATCTCGAAGTTTGTCTATCATTTCCGTCAGCAAATTAATGCGCACGCGATCACTTCTAAATTACATCATCGTGTAAATAATAAGCGCTATTACTTAGTAGTAATCTATATATAGTCCGATCTTACATATCGACGATATTCTCTCACTCTGTTTCACTTAATTGTAAATAAGATTGTTTTCTTTTTTTTTTCCAGCGAATTCAATCGCTTATACGTTGTACTTTGCATCGGCGTATGTATATTAGAGACTGCTATGCACGAAGTTATTCAAAGCACAAATTCACAATTATAAGCACTTCGATTAATAAAAAATGTTCAATGTACTTTATTAAACAGTGTGATGCATCACAACATGCGATTTTTCATCGATTGACATGCTTATATTTCACGTTTGTGCATATAACTTATATAATCAGAAATATATATATGACGTATATATATTTCTTCTATATACAGTTATGTAACTTCGTGTATAGCGAGCTTTACTATGCACCAGTATAGTGCGAGTGATGGAATTTGTTGTATTTTACATGTGTATGTACATACTTATATATGTATATATAAACGTATATAAATATATATATAAGTAAGAGATATTATAATTATAAAATCAGGCTATAGAAATATCGCTTTATCTTTATAACGACGAGTATATTACAACTAAGTAATATAGAGGTATATACACACGTAAAACTTGTAGCAGCAAGTATGTGAGTACGAAAAAGCTCTTGAGGAAGTTGAGCTCTATTGAACTGGCCTTAACGCAAGAGCCTACTTGTATATAAGATTTATATTTTATTTTTATATTAATAATATTAGCACACACAAGTGAGTAGTTGATGTGAATGTACGTGCATATATATAAGAGAATAATGAGGGTGAGAGAATAAAGTTGGTTTAATACAATGGCGCCAATAGTGTCTGCGGCCACATTGCTTTCCGGCGTTTGAAATCAATTTCTGATTGGTCAAAGAACAGCCGTTACTTTGAACCATTTGCGTGTCAAAACCAGGCTGGGATACGTTCCAAAATCTTACTTTGGTAACCGAAAACTATAGTACACGTGACGCAAAATATAATATTTTAGTAACCAAGGTAGGGTTTTGGAATGTACCGCTGATTGTTGGAATCTGACTACCGGTTAAGGTTAGGTTAGGTTAAACGCAATTACAATGGTTACGTTCAGAAAACGCAACGGTTGAGAGATCATTACTTGTGATAGGACTATTCCTCAAAATCTGTTACGGTTCTAAAAATATGATCTAATTATAAGTAATTATCTCTCAACCGTTGTACAACTGTTGAGTTGTCTGAACGCACCCATTGATCAATTAAGGCTGCGTTCCGAGTTACGCATATGCGCTCATTTATCTATAGTACACGTCACGTATAGTATAGACAAATGCACGCATATGCGTGAAACGGAATACAGCTTTAATCAACCGATTATGACCTGTATTTACCTTATCTTACCTAACCCTAACCTAACCTAACCTAGCCTAGCCTAGCCTAGCCTAGCCCTAATCTATAGTTCATCTTCAAATCAGTCTACATAAAGGGCTGTCTACAATGGAGATAAGCAGTATAGACTACGTTTACACGTACTGGTAAAACCGTTTTAGTACAAAACCGGACTTAGATGTTCGTTTACAGGACATCTAAGTCTGGTTTTTACTAAAACGGTTTCAAAAAACATCAGTACAAGGAACGTTTACAGGACATCTAAGTCCGGTTTTGAACTAAAGACATCTAAAACGGTTTTACCAGTACGTGTAAACCTAGTCATAGAGCAAGAAATAAGGTTCTTGGAGTTATTTCATTTTTTGTCTATACAAGTAATTATTTCGCGTTTTTTGACACGCGTCTTTCATTGGCTAGCAGTAGGCAGTGCGAAATGGGAATTGCCCATTTTGTTATATTCTCGTTGTTCACCGAAAAATAGTTTACTTTCTACTTCTACAGCCTTACTATCTTCATTGCAGACTAGCTATAATTTATTAAATTCCTTACGGTTTTATGATTACGACTTTCACGTGCAATGGCCTTGAGATGACATAGCCAGTCTACAATAAAGGTAGTAAGGCAGTAAGGCCTTGTTTATGCGCGCGATAACTGTTAACTTATGCCAGAACTGGTAACCAGGCCTGTAAACCAGGCCTAAGGCCTTGTTTATGCGGGCAAATAAGGCCTTGTTTTGGCCTTGTTTATGCGGGTAATAACTGTTAATTTATGCCGGAATTGGGGTACAGTTCAACTATAGGATTTCAATGCTTCTGTTATATTTTGTTATGCTTCTGTTAATAAACAGAAATATTAAAATCTTAGGCCCGCATAAACCAGGTCTTACTCTACTCTTACAGCCTTACTACCTTCATTGTAGACAGCCCTTTAATATAAAATCTGGCTATGAATAGTGGCCTAAGACTGCTTCCAGGGAGCGCGCCATCTGCTATTGCATCATTCTATCTTTATCGCTCATTAGATATAAAACAAAGGTAGAATGACACAATATCTCATAGGATGAAGTTGGCTCGGTAGAAGGCGCCGTAATTTTGGAGATACGCTGAGTAACATCCAATCAGAATTCTTTTTGAAAGCTCGTACCAGCGTGCACATGAAAAGTTGCCTCATCGCTCTTCATGCTGTTTTTTGGCTGTTCCTTTTGGCGACGGACCGGTGGCACTGTTCTGTAATTAATTGCATTGCACATTGAGAGGTTAATTTTGCCATATTGAGGAATTATAATGAATTTTCTAAAGTGTATCTCGACTATGTAACAATTTTTATATATGATTTCGAATTCGTCTGCTTTCTAGCGTTTTGCATCGTTGCAATACCGTAAAGAATCGCAAAAAAAAACTAATATTGTAGGATAGCCGGTTTCCTAATTTGTAATATTGTACATAGGTATATGCGTTTCACTAAAAAAGAAATTTAATGCTTTTTAACGGCTGTGATCTATAAAATTTAAATAGGAACTTTTTCTTGTATTTAAGAAAAAGTATATTAATCTCTTGAAGAAAACAGGTTCTGAATGACATATGGCGTCTCGACATATCTGTTTTTAGATTTTATTTATTTAAATATACATAACTATCTTGATAAAGTGTAATTTTTAAATTATGAAATAAACGAATTAAAAGAAAAAAACACAAAATTTATGTGCGTTGACTTGTGTGCTGTTTACTTATATTAAAAATCTTAAGATGATGCAATCCTAATTGCAATTTCTTACAATAAATGTGTGTTTTTGCGTTTCTTTTTACTTGTAAAATAAAACTGTAACAATCCAAGATTATGTGTGACATTTTAATGTGATTTGTTTAGTAAACATTTGCAAATACATTCATACAAAAACAATGGCTCTAACATGGACCGAAAAGTACGAGCTTATCACCAGGAATTTGACGGAATGGCTGGGAGATGACAAACTCAAGACTATTTTAAAGGAACGCGATCTCAGTCTGTACTGGGGCACTGCTACAACGGGAAAACCTCATATCGGCTATTTTGTGCCTATGAGCAAAATAGCCGACTTCTTACGAGCTGGAGCAGAAGTGACAATTCTCTTCGCGGATCTCCACGCATATTTAGATAACATGAAAGCACCTTGGGAATTGTTGGAATTACGTACTCAATATTACGAAACTGTGATCAAAGCAATGTTGAGGTCCATTGACGTTCCACTGGACAAACTAAAATTTGTCAAAGGAACTGACTACCAGTTATCCAAGTAAGAATATTCTTTGTATGGAATATTATTTTTATTATATTTATGTGGATACTGTTTAACTGACTGAAACATTTATTCTTTTTTTTTTTTTTAAGAGAATATACATTAGACGTTTATCGTCTAAGCTCGATTGTAACAGAACATGATGCAAAAAAAGCAGGTGCTGAAGTTGTCAAGCAAGTTTCTAATCCCCTGCTATCTGGTCTTCTTTATCCAGGATTACAGACACTCGATGAGCACCACTTAAAGGTAGATGCGCAGTTTGGTGGTGTCGATCAGAGAAAGATCTTTACTTTTGCGGAGAAATATCTGCCCATGCTAGGATATGAGAAACGTGTTCATTTGATGAATCCAATGAGTCAGTAATAAAATATTTAAAAAAGAAAAGCAAATATTAAAAATATATATATAACGAGATTTCCGTAACTCGTAAACCTTTATACGTTCGCTTTTTGTGCAGTTCCCGGCTTAATGGGCGCAAAGATGTCCTCGTCTGAGGAGGATTCCAAAATCGATTTGTTGGACAATGCCGCAGCGGTGAAGAAAAAATTAAAGAAAGCATTTTGCGAGCCTGGAAATATTACAGACAATGGAGTCTTAGCATTTTCCAAACATGTTATATTTCCGCTGTTTAAAAATGGCGAAGTCTTCAATGTATCAAGAACTGCGGAATTCGGTACGTGTACTTTATGCCTTGTAAGCTAATCACAAAAAATAAAAATAAAAAAAAAATAAAAAAATAAATAGGTAAAGAGAAAAAAGAATTATCGCTTATTTTTACGCTTGTAGGCGGTGATGTATCTTTCTCCAAGTATAAAGATTTGGAAGCTGCCTTTGCAAAGGAAGAAATACATCCTGGTGATTTGAAGAATGCCGTAGAGGTGTACATCAACAAACTTTTGGATCCAATAAGAAAGGAGTTCGAAAAGAACTCAAAGCTAAAGTCACTCACGAGCAAAGCTTATCCACCGCAAAAGCAAAGTAATTTAGCTTATTAAGTGTTTACTAAAGAGATAATAGTTTAAGATGTTAAATATTTCTGTCACATAAAATTGATTTTATAAGATAATTGATACTTGTACAGAAACTGCAGAAGTGGAAATAACTCCTGCGAGATTGGATATTCGAGTCGGTAAGATAGTCGAGGTAAAAAAACATCCTGATGCGGACTCGCTCTACGTAGAGAAAATAGATCTAGGTGAACCGAATGGCCCGCGCACCATAGTCAGTGGTCTGGTTAATTATGTACCTTTGAACGAAATGGAGAACAGAATGGTTGTGATTCTCGCAAATTTAAAACCAGCGAATCTCAGAGGAATTTTGTCACATGGAATGGTTCTTTGTGCTTCTGTGTAGGTATCTCATTAATCAAATACAGAATGTTCCATTTCTTAATTACTCTAGGAAAATATTTCGAAAAATATGAAAGATACGAAATAACAGTTCAAATAAAAGTTATAGGATATCAAGGGAGACAGATGTTGACATTCGTTTGATCTTGAGATCATCTTAATCATCTAGGGCCCTTGATATTCTATAGCTTTTTTATCTGAAACATGTTTCCATGATGATTTTTAAAATCTAAACTTTTGTATTGCATTTTATCAAGCGATGAACCAGCAAAACAAGTTGAGCCTTTGAGACCTCCCGCAGATAGTGCACCTGGTGACAAAATTGTTATTGAAGGTTATGAAAATGGAACAGCAGATAATGTGCTGAATCCAAAGAAGAAAGTATGGGAGAAGCTACAGGTAAGTATCGATTGTTCTCACTATACAGAGCACATAAAGTTCTTTTTTTGCAAAAATACACTCTCCAAAAGAAAAAAATATAGATTTATTATAACAATACACTATAAAAAATTGTTATTAGGTTGATCTCGTAGTAAATGGAAATGGCGCAGCTTCTTGGAATGGAAATTTACTACTCACTTTAAATGGCGGCAAAATAACAAGTGACACTCTCAAAAACGTTCCAATCAAATAATGCATTTACTTTTTTTCATTTATTTATTACACTGGCTTGTATGACAAACTAAGACGCTGTTTATACTTTTGCGAACTATCCGTTTGAAGTTTTGTGTATTTTTACTTTTATTATGCACACATGACAAAAAAAATCATAGACATTTCACTGGTCAGTAAATATATTTGAAAGAACACAAAATCATTGTGTTTTCATGATCGTGTTTATTTCTTTGTGAGATATTTGGACATTATTGATTTTTTATAAATTTATGCAAATGCAAAATCTGTGTATAATCTAGATTTAACCCTGCACAATGTTTCTGTCTCACGGCGTATATTTGTTCTTGATCAGATCTATGTAAAACTACATAAAAATTTTGTTTTTTGTTTTTGGTAATAATAATTTTTTGTGGTAAAAATAAAAACAACTATTAATTTTCCTGAGTAAAAGTTTTAATTTGTTCGTAAATACTCTTTAAACATCAACAATACATAATAACAAATGTAACACTGACAACTTATAAACATGTAAATTGTGAAAAGTAAAGAGAATAGTGTTAATTTATAAAAGACCTCTGGCCAACTGTCAATGTTCAAAAATGAAATTTGAACTACTATTAAGAAGATATAACATTAAATTAAAATTAATTGTGTACCACAATATAATATTATGCCATTTTGTAAATTATTAAATAACTGCGCAAAATAGAACTAATAAAACAAGTTGATTGCTGCTGTGTACACATCAAGTACGTTTGTTACATTACACATATGTTTATTTATTGTTTTTTGTCCTTCAAGCTTTGAATTAAACATCGGAAACTCAGTTCTATTTTCAAATTTAATTGAACGCAACAGATTTCATTGATCTAACTCCGAAGTAAACTCACGAGTTTACAATTGATGAACTGTTTAATATACAAAACATATAAACAAGTTAAATTTAGTGACGAATTAACAACGCTCTTACATTGATAGAACAAGACTTTAACCGATCTCAAGTTTTGGTAGAAAATTTACTATCACCTATGCAACAAGATGTAAGATATAAATTGTGCAAACGCGCACAGATACTTATGTGGATTTGCCTTCCACAGATCAAAATATAACAACCGCGTCAGTCGTAGTAACTTTAAATGAACACTTATACATTACGATTCGACTAGAATCGGATTGCAACAGTTGGCTTCAAACAATGTCGTTCGCGTCAGGAGAACGCGTGACGATAGGAAGCGAGGATGATGACGGTGCCACAAACACATCTTCCTCAGTTTCTTCCTCAACGAGAAGAAAGTTCTCGTGAATCTCCTCTTCTCGCGCCGGTTCCGGCGGCGCTAACACATCCTGGCCATGCTGCTTTAGGTGATCTTTCAAGGCAAATGCTCGACCATACGACGCGCCGCATATATAACAGCTGAATTTTAGATTGTTGTCTTTCTTATGCGTCTGGATGTGCGCACGAACGGCGTACAGAGACGCAAATGGTCGCGAGCACTCGGTGCATCGGAACGGTTTCGTGTGACTGTTCTTATGACCGGCTAATTGCACTCGCGTCTTGAAAGTCTTCGGACAATATGGACACGTGTAGGCGCGCTCTTCGCCGTGCGTCAGCAAGTGATGATTGTACACGGACGATGCCTTGAATCGTTTGCCGCAATGCTGGCAGGCGTAGGGTCGTACACCGGTATGCGTACGCATATGTAGCGTCAAACAGTAAGACACTCGAAAGGTCTTGCCACAAACCTGTCAGTAAACACACACACACACACATGATCGTTTTTTCACCGTTTTTTGTTTTTGTTTTTTTTTTTAAATCGTGTGACAGAAATGATAGAAAAAAATTTCTAGAAAAGCTTATGAGGTTTTAATTTTTGTGTGTTAATCGCTTTTTTCATTCATTTTATTGTTTTCTTTCTAAGGCATACTAACAATTGTCTCGAGAATAGTTTCATCTTCATTTCTCAAAACGCTATGCCTTGTTACGTTTCTGTGGAATGCTTAGTGAACCTTGTGAGCTTATGATCACCTACCTCGCAGGCGTGCGGCTTTTCTCCGGTATGAATACGCTCGTGTTTCACTTTTTCGTGAGGTCTGGTAAACCTGCGCCCGCAATGCTGACACTGATAAGGTTTCTGACTGTCAGTCATTTCCACTGTTGTTACCGCTGCCGTCGCTGTTGTCGTTATCGTTGATGTTGTCGCGGTCATCGCCGCTGCTGTTGTCGTGACCGTTGTCTTCTCGGCGACCAGAGTTGCGATAGAAACGGGAAGAGTAGGCGATTGCGGAGTAAGAGCTAGTTCGGTGTGCACCGCCGCGTGCATCGCCAAACTGTCCGCAGAATCGAACTTTCTATTACAAATGGTGCACGTCACCGAGTCACCGGTGTGCAACGTCATGTGTGCGTCTTTGTACGACTCCGACAGAGTTTTACCTGCAAAGTATTATCAAATTGAGAAATAGAATAATAAAAAATACAACCTAACATGCTAAGCTAATTGAAACCTGCAAATTACACATAGATTACTCAATGATCCAATAGATTAAATGAGATTCGTGTAACATTTCTATATTGCAAATCAAATCAATACAATTAATTTGAAAATTAAGCCGAGTAGACTGAATTTATTACCGCATTCTGGACAAGTAAAAGTTGCATTAGGAGTCCCCTCGGGTGCATCCACATGTCTGGCCCTTACAGGAGCGTGCATTCTTGAGTGTAATCGCAAACTTTTATGAGAACAGAACTCGGTACCGCATGTGACGCAAATAAAAGTCTTCTGGCTCGGGTCTACATCACTCTCATGTACTTTCACATGAAGTTGCAAGGCCTTCGGGGTCGCAAAGCTTTGGTCGCAGTGCTCGCAACGATTGTTGCCATGGAGACAGGCGTGCACACGAAAGTTTCCCAACTTGGAGAACTGCTGCAAGCATTGATTGCACCTGTACATTCGTACTGATGCGGTCGCCAAACGCTTCTCTCGTACCTGCATATCATACGGGGGATATTAATCCTTACGCGCTCCAGTGTCTCGCGCGAGATTAACCTCCCACAGACGCGCGCGCCTTAAACCGCACCTTAACGCCTTCCACGTTCGAGAAGAACTTCTCGATCATCGGAGCTTTCGCCGATTGCGACGTCGTGACTTGAATTGGCGTGCGGTCCCAGAATCTTTCGATCTGAACTACCTTCCTGGTATACAGTCTACCTTCGCTGTCCACACATTCCTCCGTGCGCAGCGTATTCATTGTCTGTCGTTGTCGTGCATTTACAAAATTGTCAGTACTCTCTGGCACCGCAGACACCAAATTTGAAGGTATTGTCGTTGTCAAGTCGTCTAATTGTTCCGCCATCTCCAACAGAACTTCCTGGCCATCGTGAAACTGTTTGATATGTTCCAAAACGGAATTAAAACTGATTTCGCAACTAGTGCAACTATATATAGCGTTAGATTCCATCTACAAAAGAAGAAAGAAATAAAATTATTATAAATAATAATATACTATTGTTATATATGTACCACTTTGAGAAATTTTAGTTTTGTAATATTTGACTATAATATAAGTTAGATAGAATATAAACAAATATCACATAAATATAATGTAGATTTTAAACAGACAATATTATTTTCACCTCAGCTAATTCTTGCTTAACTCGCAGAACATCGGTATCGCCAATCTCCCCTGCCTCATTCACACGATCTATATCAATCAATGTGGTATCAGCACCATCGAAAAGTTCGGAACTGTCAGGCAACACAGCAATAATATTTTTCTCCACTGGTGTTATTTTGCACTCCGTATTGGTGTTTGATACAGGTATAGCTACCAATCTCTGCGATAGCTGCAGTCTTCTTTGCATTCCACCACCAGAATCGGGAAGTCCTTCAGGTATCTTGAAATCCAGAGAATTTAGATCTGGTTGCGTTTCTTCCATGTCCATCTTTTCTACAACTTTTATCTCTCCTAATATATGTATTAGAAACAAAATTCAGTTCATAGAATGCTCGTGCAAAAAGAAACAGCAATTCTACAAACCATTTTCATCCATTTGTATAGTCTGCTGATCATCCACTATAACAACTCCATTGTTGTTCACTGTTGCGAGAATGCTCTGATTGATTTGCTGTGTTGTTTTAGTCTGACAATCCTGACAATAACATTGCAATATTACTACATACATACAGACAATCCACATCAAGAGATTTTAGAATTTCTTATGCTTCTAAATAACATTAAATCCTATGCAAAATTAAATATTAAACTTTTTTTTTTTTTATTGTATATAGTTTTTTTCTTCACTAACCATTAAAATATTTATCTTGGCCTCAGACTCCATACTGGCTTTCCAGAGCTCGTCCCCGAAGATGTTGGGCTTCACTTCGTGTTCTAGATCTTGCTCACACTTGTCCAGATGCTGAATGAGCGCTGTCACAGAGTCAGAACGCTGCGAACAGCCAGGGCAATAGAGATTGTCTGTCATACTTAACAAATGGTACTTGAGAGATAGAGGATTATTGAAGGTTTCACCGCAACACATAGGACAAATGAGGTTTAATGAGCCCATAATTATTAAACCAATCTCTCAAATGTAAATTCGAACCACGCTTCGCGCTACAATGGCAGAATCTCCAGTTTGTGGTTTTGGAAAATCTAACCTAGCGCGGGAGGTCGAAAAACGTGTCGATGGCAACGTATCTGCGGAAATTTCATCTTGGGCTCGATTTATTCGGCGGAATAATTATTGCACGCTCGCTGATAATCAAATCTTTCTGCTTTCGAAGTGGTCCGCAGGCACTGTCATTTCATTCATCATGGTCTCGGGAAGCAATAAAAGAAATCCATTCAAGACGAACTTCAGAGCGTAAACAAATGCCGCGCATAATAATTGTGAAGTTGGACGAGGTTCATAAGTGAATCGCGAAGTCGGCCATTAACAACACCACGGCACTGGACGAGATATATTATAAATGGAAGAAACATTTACACTGCGCTCGATGTTATGTGACAAGTGTGTAACAGCTGGATTAAAGAACGCATTGCCGACAGCATTGACCTTGGAAAAAAAGACAAGCAATTTTCGGAGAGTACATTTGGACGGCTGATAATGTTCAAAAGATTTTTAAAGCTTATATATTATTTTTTATTTTCCTACTTTACATGAGAATAAATTATTTATTGAACTTATTACACATCAAATATACATGTTAAAGAAAGAAGAAAAGATTTTCTTCCTTTCTTAAAGTTGTATTAAAAAAATACTATAAAAGAATATAAAAAAAACTTATGTAAATTATTTTATATGGTAAAATACATAAATTTTAAAATATTTCGTAATTAGCATTCATCATTTTTTTCTTTATTTATTTACACATTAATACATGTACTATTTTTATTTATTTGTACATTAATACATGTATATACCATCATGCTTTTAACGCATGAGAAAATAATAAAACACTAATATATAACAATATTGTTATTGAAGAAAAAGGAGTTTATTAAAGCAATACTGGGAGTTTAAGTAAGAATGTCAGAAAACTAGTACAGAAGAACAAAAGTTTTGCACAAAAGAAACACATGAATTGCAAAAGTAATTGTATAAATATGAGCTTATGTACAAATGTTACAAATATTTGACATTTATATCCTAAAAAAATACTTGCTAATAGTTTCATAAGATTCATAACAAACATTATTATAGAATTTGAAAAAGATCCTCCAGCAGTGCTCTTTGTTTATTATTACTTTGCTGTGCTACCGTTAAAAAAACAAAGTTTTCATTTTGTAATTTCTTCTAATCGACATGTTCGTGTTGCGCATTGCTCTCGCGCCAGGTATTCTGAATAAGTTCGACAAACTGCTGCCACCATACACTGCGTGATGTGAAGTACAGCATGCAAGCAACGATAAAAATCCACGACATCACCAGACAGTAATCCATTTCGTTAGTGGGCGTGCTTGAAACCGGTCCGGTAAAATCCGCTGAGGTAACGTAAAGCGAACCATTGGGTTGCAAATTGGTCAACTGCGACATGAACCTCGCGAATGATTCCAAGGTGTAGATCGTATCGTTGAATTTAGCAACAGGCTTGCCGTTGTGAATAAGCATTAATGTCGGTACTCCAACTATTCCATATTGCGCATTGAAACTGAAAACAAAACACATTTCTTTTAGAAATTGCATCTCCAGTTTCAAATACTAAAAAACTATATATCAAAAATATACACATATAAATTTATTATAATTCACCTTTGATATTTTATAGCATCGATAGCAACAGCTTTGATATTAGGAAACGAACGAGGTATCGCGTTGAAATGTGGTGCAGCTTGACTACTGAACACACACCATCTGGCATAAAATAATACTAGAATACATATCCCTGGTAACTGTTTGCCATCTTTGTTGTTTCTTGAGCGATTTGTCGGACCAGGTTCCAGGATCAGTAACTCCATAAGTCTTGTGACATTGACAAGCTGCAAAAATGCATAAGAACAATTAGTATATTAACTAGTACAATAATAGTCTTAGAAGCTCATACCTCAACAGGTCCATAGATTTTGTCTATTGAACAGTTTACTTTAGTGGTGTTAATTGAGCCAGTAATGGTGACATTTGCTGCATTTTCAGCATCACCAGTTACATGATTTTCTTCTGTACGAACTTGTTTATTTTCTTCTTGATTGGAAGTATCCTGAGTTATTAACGGTGTTGTGAATTCTTCCGTAACCTCTTCACTGTTTATGACATCAACTGCGCATAGATAATCACACACAGTAAAATTTAGATTAAATATTAATGGTCAACAATTAAATCAATAACAAAAAATCTTCATGGCATATTGCTTTTCACAGTAAATTATCATTATTTCAAATGGATAGTTTTGTTGATATCTCATCTTAAACATTTCTCACAAATAAAAAGAATAGATAAAAGAAAAACAGAATAACAAATCGCGATCTTTACCTAAAATTAAGAAAGATATAATAAAGCTTAATGTTGATATATTCATTTTATAGAATTTATAATTATACACAATGACGATGTAATCCACCAACTACGTATGTACGTTACAATCGGACTAAACTCATGATAGTTGTATTATTAAAATAAAAGAAAAAAATAGCCAAACACATTGTACCGCGATCGTACTGAGAGTTGCACATTAAATGCAAAGTCAAGTCAATTTCAAATTGTAATGCGAATATGATTTGAATCAGCTGTTAGCGCGAATCTAACCCTATCTCGTAGTTTCACACCTATCCTAACCTAACCTAACCTAATTTAACCTCCCTCCTCAATGCGTAGCTACAAAGTACCGCATGGAAATTTTCTGTGAAGGTAGATCGCGTTTGAATTTGTCCTTTTAACGATATATAATTACACCGTAAATATATAATATATGGATTGAGCATGCATATTAATTAAGAGTATGTAAATTAAAGGTTCGCTGTGTCATCTTCTATCAAAACAACATGGACAGCGAGAATACGATGAAACTCGAATTTCAACACTCGAGAAAACGAAAGAGCAAAAAAGAAACGACCAAAGGTAAAGTTTTAACAAACTTACAACAAATTTATTTCAGAAACAAATTTTCTTTTAATACATGATAGATAAGCATCAACTATTTTATTAAAATTAAGAACAAAAAAATATTAAAGAAAAAACTTGTATATACATACTAAATATATATATATATATATTGTGAAATTATTACAAATAATAAACTTTTATAGATGTAGACAACGTAGATAGTAATGAGCATGTTATTAAAAAAAAACAAATTGGAAAAAGAAAGAAAAAATCTATAGTAGTACAAGAAATTAAAGCAGACAGCACATCAGAAAAAAAATTTGAAAATACCAGGTAAAAAATATGTATATCTATAAAATATCTTAACAGAAAAAAAATAAAAACAATTTTATTAATTTCTTAAATGCTAAAATATTAGTAAAATAGTATTTAAAATTAACATTAAAATTAATATTTTATATGTAGTTAATAAAAAATAAATAAAAGGCATTTATTGGTATATCAAGAATTATTAAACATAAGTAAATAATTTTATTTTAGAAGCAAGTATTCTTCCAATGAAAATACTGTGAAAGAAGATGTTGAAGAAAATACATCAATTCCAACAAAACTGTCAAAGAGACAGTTAAAAAGGGAGAGAGTTATTCAGATAGCAGCTGAAAAGATACAGAATAGTAAGAAAAATGCTCAGCAAAAGGCACTAAACTATGTAACTATGGTAAGATGGAATAACAAAATATCACAAAAGTTTTTTAAATTTTATATATAAGTTTTTGTTTTTTCAGTGGAAGCATTCCAGAAGTGAGTGGAAATTCGAAAAAATCAGGCAAATTTGGCTGATAGATAACTTGCTAGATGAAAACTCTATTCCCAACACAACTTTTCCTATCGCTCTTGAATACTTTGAAGGTTGCAAGGGCATGGCTCGAGAACTATTGTTACAAAGAGGAATGGAAGTTATAAGAAAAGCAGAGGAGGAACAGGACGAAGAAAATAAGAATGAGATTATGACCTCAGTCGCTTATGTGAGAGCCAGACAACTTTTACAGGCTTTACCGACTGATAGATAGTTCCAAATTTACGAAATGTTTACCAAGATAAAGATTATATTGAAGATTAGCACTAAAGACTTTTACTATGTGTCACTTTTGATACACATGTGGTAACTATTTTTACAAACATTAGGAAAAGTATATTATACGTTTTTTGCTAGTGACATTATTAATTCAACATCACTTTAGTGATTAACATAAAAATTTAGAGAAAATGATCTGTTTAACAAATTTCAATCATTTTAATAAGAGAATGGTAAAAAAACCGCGGAGCCTCTGGTCCAAGAAGGAGGTGGACATTCAATTTAAACGTAAAAAACTACAATGTATTTAAGGACGTTTCGATCATTTATTGTTGATCATCTTCAGCACTGTTCAATAACAAAATATATAATTAAGTACAATTAAAATTAAAACTAACAAATTTTGAAAAATATCCGTTACATAAAATGACAAAAACAGAATAAATAGTAAACAGAATAAAAAGTAAATATGTACGCACCTAATTTGACGAGTCAACACAGAACCGCTCAGTGCACGACGGCAAGAACACGAATCAAAACTATAGATGACATAGACATACAAAACAAGTATGATTTGTATGTATCACAGGTCTACTAAGAAAATATAATAAATAATATGTGAATGTACGTTATTCATAAGTAAGAATTAATTACACAGGCACACAAAAAAAAATGTTCGGGCCCACAGACCAGACCATTCATTCTATATGTATTTTGAGACGCTGAATCCATTTCCGTAGTCAGTTTACTCCCACCACGTCAGGATTTTTGGCAAAACTCAAAAAATACCCGAAAAATCATTAAATTTGCATCTTTTTGCGGCACAAAAACCAGTATCAAATAAATTTGTCAGCAAAAATTACAAACAAGTAGTGTCTAAAATGGTCCAAAACTTTGGAAAAATGGGATGTCTAATGAACTTAAAAATGCATTTCTTGCACAACCATATAGATCAGTTTCCAGGAAACTTAGGTGATTACAGTGAAGAGCAAGGTGAACGTTTTCACCAAGATATTAAAGAAATGAAGAGAAGATACTAAGGCAGGTGGGATGTCAATATGATGGCAGACTACTGCTGGACGCTGAAAAGAGATTGTAAAAATAGAGGAACTAAACGTAAACGAAATCCATTACAGATCTTTTGAAAGCAAGCGGGTACGCTATCATAGAAAAAAATAAAGTATCACGCATTTTTTCAAAAACTCTGACGTGGTGGGGGTAAACTGACTCTAGAAATGGATTCGGTGATCCAAAAAATATATAAAATTAGAATTGAAAGTGCGAATTCATTTGATACTGGTTTTTGTGTCGCAAAAAGAAGCAAATTTAGTGATTTTTTGGGTATTTTTTGAGTTTTGCCAAAAATCCTGATGTGATGGGGATAAACTGACTACGGAAATGGATTCAGCGTCTCAAAATACATATAGAATGAGTGGTCTGGTCTGTGGGCCCGAACATTTTTTTTTGTGTGCCTGTGTTATTTAAGTCAAAGCAAAGGTCATTATTAGTAAAAGTCAAAAGTTAAAAAGAAGTCAATGAATTTTAAATTTACGCTGTTTAAAATTACGCTGGCTGAAAATTAGCGTTAACAACATTATCAGACCATCTTCGATATATGTATGAATATTGTGAGACTAACTCCAAGTGCCTCGGTGGCCTAACAGGGAAGGCGATGGCACGGTAAGCTGGAGATTCCAGGTTCGACTCCTGGCCGAGGAGTTTTTTTCTCAATATTTTAAAATTAGGGGGATATCCGGGGTCTCTCATATGTGAGATGCAAATCCAGCATCCCGTATGAATTTAAGAATTGAGATTTCAATTCTAAAAACATTCACTTGTAAAAATTTACAAGTTGAATTCGTTACATGTGTATACATATATATACACGCACAGTTTCCGCTCAAACATCCTGCGAATGGCTCGTAAGGCCTTATATATTTCTTGTTATCAATGAATTTAATCAATAAATAACAATAAAAAGAGGAAGTCAGTAAACTTATTAAAAAATTTTAAATAAATAAATAACAGACACTTATAACTTTAAAATTGTCAAAACCATATTGAAATGTCCTAGTTCTCGCCCACACACAAAGAAACGGAACAGAGTCCGACTGTCTCACAATACATCTCATACTCGACTGAAAGATGTCATGATTAACGCATAGATTCGAACTCGAAAAACAGAGAGAGAGAGAGGAGAGAAAAACAAACGTGTGAGAAAGAACACGCGACTACCGAAGCTTCTTGAGAACAGGGGTGTAAATGTCATCAAGAAGTTCTGTGTCTTTTATTAAATTGACACTCGCCTTTTGTGTCTTAATATTCAACATTTCTGAGATAAAATTAAAAATTAAAAATTAAAAATTTTTACAAGAGATTGATTTCTGAAACAATACATATTAAAGAACAGACTCAGGGGCTGAATTTAATCAGTGACACAGATTTACTCGACGGTTCTTATTTTTGCTTACTCAATGACTTAAGACGCGCGGACTTTAGAAATTTAAACTCTAACGTATTATCTTGATGTTTGGAATAGAGTGGGGCTCCATGTGTATATATTTGGCTGTCCTTATTGTTTGTTTAACGTTCGATTTCCGACTTTCATCATGTATGTTGTTTGCCTGTGTGTCGATTTATTGAGTGTCTAACTTGCCAATACAATCCGTGATTGTTTCAGGACGGAATTTTTATTCAAGTAAGAATTCGCATACATTTATTTTATTCAACTACAACATTGCGTTCATAGCGAGATCGAATTGTGACATTTATGACTTTAATGTACTGAAGATGACTCAAGTAGGGTCGAAACGTTTACTTATATTTTGTAGTTTTAATATTTATATTGTATATTTAATATTTGTTACCATGATATTCAACACTGCGGATCAATTCCCTTATTGTTAATAAAGTTTCTACATTGTTCGTAAAAGAGACCTGTATTTATCTTTCGATTATTTCTGAGATGTTCTACAGGATCTTGAGACACAATGCCTGGATAAATTAGGTTTCACACTACCGTTTTGTTATAGATACGTCGACGATATTCTAATGGCAGTCCCTAGACAAAAAGTAGATGTCATATTCGAAATTTTTAATACTTACCATCCGAGATTGAAGTTCACATTAGAAATTGAGTATAATAAAACAATCAACTTTCTTAACACTTCTATTACTGTTGTCAATAACAAAATAAATTTGAACTGGTTTCAAAAACCAACATTCTCGGGAAGATATGTCAGCTTTCTCTCACATCATCCACTCACAAAAAATGTCAGACAAAAAATAGGAATTGTTTACAATATTGTTAATCGAGCAATCTTACTTGCGCATCCTAAATTTCACAGAGATAATTTACACAAAGTTACATCCATTTTGTTATCTAATGAATATCCGTTAGATTTCAAATTTCTCAAAAAAAGATTACACTATTTGTTTGTAACAAGGCTTAATATCAATGCTGAAACCATAGCGAGAGATGTCATGAGAGGAGATGAGAGATTTTTTATTCTACCGTTTGTCACTGAGATTACTGACAATATTGCTAAATCTTTAAAAAATAAAAAATTTAAATGTGCCTTTAAATGTACCTTTGAACACATTGAAAAAATTCATCAAGTCACATAAAGTATTAGAACATGGCTTTAACAACAACATAATTTATAAAATAAACTGCTCTTCCTGTGAAGCCTCTTATGTAGGCCAAACAGGAAGACAATTGCGGACAAGATTGGCAGAGCACCAACGTAATTTTTACCAGAGTTACGAACGGCAGTCTGTTGTTAGTCGATATCGTAGTGATTGTGGCCATGATTTCCTTTGGGATAAGATAGAAATTTTGGATAGAGAGCAATATTATCATAAAAGACTCATCTCAGAAATGTTGAATATTAAGACATAAAAGGCGAGTGTCAATTTAATGAAAGACACAGAACTTCTTGATGACATTTACACTCCTATTCTCAAGAAGCTTCGGTAGTCGCGTGTTCTTTCTCACACGTTTGTTTTTCTCTCCCCCCCCCCTCTCTCTCTCTCTCTCTCTGTTTTTCGAGTTCGAATCTATGCGTTAATCATGACATCTTTCAGTTGAGACAGTCGGACTCCGTTCCGTTTTTTTGTGTGTGGGCGAGAACTACGACATTTCAATATGGTTTTAACAATTTTAAAATTATAAGTAAGTGTCTGTTAATTATTTATTTAAAATTTTGTAATAAGTTTACTGACTTCCTCTTTTTATTGTTATTTATTGATTAAATTCATTGACTTCTTTTTAATCTTTGACTTTTACTAATAATGACCTTTGCTTTGACTTAAATAATTAATTCTTATATATACTTATGAATAACGTACATTCACATATTATTTATTATATTTTCTTAATAGACCTGTGATACATACACATCATACTTGTTTTGTATGTCTATGTCATCTATAGTTTTGATTCGTGTTCTTGCCGTCGTGCACTGAGCGGTTGTGTTGACTCGTCAAATTAGGTGCGTATATGTTTACTTATTTATTCTGTTTTTGTCATTCTATGTAACAGATATTTTTCAAAATTTGTTAGGTTGTTAGTTTTAATTTTAATTGTACTTAATTATATATTTTGTTATTGAACAGTGCTGAAGATGATCAACAATAAATGATCGAAACGTCCTTAAATACATTGTAGTTTTTTACGTTTAAATTGAATGTCTACCTCCTTCTTGGACCAGAGGCTCCGCGGTTTTTTTACCATTCTTTGATTATCTCATCGAGCCGTTTATTTACTTTTATCATTTTAATAAATTTCAAAATCTTTAACATACAAGATAGAAATATTGAATTACCATCTCTTATATTAATTTTTAACATTTTAAAACGACAGTGTAATTTAAAAAATTTATATATATATACAACACAAAATACATATGCTTTCAAGTTGATTTGAAAAAGTCTTGGTGCGCCACTTAAAATGTTTGAAATTTTCTAGTTTCTGTTGACTCTAAATATTAAAATGTATATGTCCAATGTTAAATTAATAATCATTGATAATTTGAATTTATTACATAAAAGAAGACATTTAAAATACAACATACAATACAGCTTTTATATATTTTTTAATTAAATCTGCAACCTTAAAGAACAGGACTTGTGTGTGTATGTGTATATGAAAAAAATAGATTTGTCAATTGTTCAATGTGTTTACAAACTAGAAAATTTTGTAAACTATAAACAATAAGCTGCAAAATTTATTATGTATACAAGAAATAATTATCTGTACAAGAATTTACTATTAAGAATAATCAACAGAATAGTTAGCTATTCTGCATACTTGTTGACAAATTGTCGGAGCTTGTCGGTGTCCTGAAGACCAACCATTTTCTCCAGGACTTTACCATCTTTCATAGCCATGAGTACAGGTACAGAGCCAACCTGAAAGTTTATGCGAGTTAAATATACAATACATAGTTTGTTTTTATAAACATAAGGAAACAAATGCTATATTATCATTGCGAAAAACTAATGTACTTGATAATCCAGAGCGAGATCACTGTTCTCATCGATATCGACTTTGGCCAGCAGTATCTTGCCTTGTTTTTCAGCAATAACCGTTTCTATTCTCGGTGTCAACATACGGCAGGGATTGCACCATCTGAATCAACAATGCAACACATGATTCAGGTGTGTTGCAAACTCAATTTTGTTATATTGATATTCATGTATTCAAAGGAAATCGTGAATCTAATGCTTACGTAGCAAAAAAGTCAACGATAATTGGCACTTTAGAGTTCTTTACGCGTTCGTCGAAATCCTTTATGTCTTGCACCTTGAAAGTAATAGAAACTACTTGCTCTTGTACCTGTGCAGTGGTGTACGACCTGCTGCACAAAATATTACGGACAACTCGCACTCCTACGCGCTGCATTTCTCAGCTTCTTGCTTGTTGAGATACTTTACTGATCAGAAAATAAATTTTGTCAAATTTGGTTTGATTCGGTACTCTTATGGCTCATTGGATCTGTACACTAGTCCATACGCCATTCTACGTCCTTATTTGATGTATATAAGCTGCGTTCCAGAATTGCTGCCAGCACGCTGCCAGTGCTAAAATTGTATATGTGACGTAAACTATAGATCTTAGCGCTGGCAGTAAATTTTGGAACACAGCCATAGTATCAGATACGGAATCATTGGGTGCGTTCAGACAACTCAACGGTTGAGAGATCATCACTTATGATAGGACTATTCTTCAAAATCTACTGCGGTTCCAAAAGTATGATCCAATCAAAAGTGATTATCTCTCAACCGTTGTGCAACTGTTGAGTTGTCTGAACGCACCCATTGGTTACGTCAGGGCTGCGGTCCGTTTTATGCATATATATATAATACTTCTATATTGCTAGTACGGTGCCGACCTGAAGTCCAAATGTTACGGTGCAGACAATATAGTAGCCTCTCTCTCCAGCTGCTTTGTGCGTATGCGGTGAATTCAAGCACGTTTGGGCATTTCTCTTTCTCGCGTTCTTTCCAATGCTTTGTCTCGCTCGCACTCGCTTAGTAGACGCGCCTGCGCATAATGACGCTCGACTATCTATGCCCATATTTGGACTTCGTGCGTCTCTCTTTCTCGGGCCTCGTGCCTCTCATTGGGTGTGTTTAGACGAAGCTAGCGCTACGTAGCGCTACGTAGCGGCTTCATGTAGCAGTTGCAATTGCTGCGTTACTTCTGCTGGACAGTATTGCTACGCGCAGCATGTTCTATAGAAGTAACGCAGCACTTGCAACTGCTACATGAAGCCGCTACGTAGCGCTACGTAGCGCTAACTTCGGCTAAACACACCCATTGTCTGCACCGTAACATGTGGACTTCAGTTCGGCACCGTACTAGCAATATAGAAGTATTATATATATGCCTAAACCGTACAGGGGCAGGTGCCATATTTGCAAAGAAGATGCGCTATGATACTTTCGATAAGCACCTAGATGTAAGCCAATAGGATTCATCCTACGGCAATTCTTTTTCAATAAAAAAAAAAAAAAAAAAAAAAAAAAAAAAAAAAAAAAAAAAAAAATACAGGCAGTTGAAAAGCGCGACAAATGCGTTAAACC